TAGTCTCATGATCGAAATTTTAAAAAATAAATTAGCAGGACGATTATACGTAATGTCAAAAATTATTCCTATTTTTACAATCTAAATTCTATTAATAAAAAGAGGCCTTAAAGGTTTAAAAATTAATCAACTTTCCAATATTTTTATCGTCATTCGCTATATTGCATTATTAATATTATAGATTCTGTATATCTGAACATTAAAATTTTGAACATATAATACAATTGTTGTCGCTCCTAAGAAAGTGGTAAGATAGAACTTTGTTTGCGGAAAAAAGCACCTGCACAGTTGGAGGTGGGTGGCATCGTAATTTGATATAATATGATGTCCTATATATTTATGAAGTCCAATCACATCTATGGTCTTTATATATAAATAAACTTGCAGACATTTTCAAAAAGTTGATACAGAATGTTTAATTTCGTTGATTATTTATTGTCTTCACAAAAAGATTTATATATATTCTTTAGAAGATTTGTCAGAAATGGTATAAAAACTTTTCGTCAGATAAACAATTGATCTTCTAAAGCATTTACTCACAGACAATAAAAAATTTGTTACTTTTTCAAAATTTATTAAATGATGTAATAAACAATGTTAAAATAATTTCTATCATTTATCATTTCGGTTTCATGTATCAGTCAGAGCCTAAGAGTCGAGCCGCCCTTATAATATTAAGGAAATTTTTTTAAAATCTGAAAGTCACCATTCCAATTATAACTTTTAAATCAAGAAAAGCTTGATTATTATAATATAATTAGTTTCTTTATTTTATTATATATATTATTAAAATAAAAAACATAATAGAAAAATATTCCTTCTTCGTCACCACCCATTAATCAATTTTTTTTCTTTGAAGAATTTTTCTGGATAATGCTTCAAATCTTCTTCTACAAGAAATAGATGATTTGTTACCATTAAAATGATTTCTAGAAATCAAAGCCCATTTACCACCAAATTCAACCAATCCTGTTAATAATCGAGAATCATCATGTGGGCTCCAACGATTTGTATTGTTTGTGTTTAGTAAAGAAAGCGATGATGGTAATGGATATAGTGAAGAAGAAGAAGAATTAGAAACAGATGATGATGGTAACGAAGATGATGATGAATTCTTGTTGTTGTAAAATAAAGGTGTTGAAGCGTGTCTTCTTGATGTAATAATTGGTAATAAAGAAATATCGATTTCTTCTTGCTTTTATTATTATTTAAAATTTGAAAATTAAAGAATCACGTTCAAGCAGATAATTAATCAATCTTTCTCTACCAACACCACTTATTTAAATTACCTTAATTGTATGATTCATTTTCTCAATTTCATTTCCTTCTGGTTCTAATTTTATTACAAATGATGAACTATTAATACTATTAGTAGTAGAAGATGCTGTTGTTGTTAGTAAAGATGACGATAACGGTTCTGTTAATGAAGAAGATGAAGATGCTAATATTGGTGTTGGAAAAATTGTTTTTGGTGTTGATATTGGCAACGATGATGGCGGTGATGAAGATGTATATATCGAACCATTTCTATTGTCACCTTCTTCCTACAAAATATAATAATAAATAAAGATTTCGTTTTATTTTGTAAAAACTTTCTTTTACAGATAAAACAAAAAATACTGCAAAATAAATTTCTGATATTACAATTATATAAATTGGATCATTGATTCCACCTTTTCTTGCCTTCATAATTCGTTATTAATAAAAAAAATAATGAAACAAAAAGGAATGGAAAACGCTTTTGTAAATATCATTATTAATTATAGCTTTCATTATAATAGAGCATAATTTATTAAAATTAATTTTTTCTTTTTGATTCTCTTCCATTAATTAAATTAAATTAATCATTCATTTTGAAATAGTCAAATAAATTTTTTTTATAATTCTTATGCAAGTGCTTGAAATTATTCAATGAAAAAAATGTAGGAAGAACACATGCTTAAAAAGGTTTACTTTTCAATAATTTTAACAAATTCAAAATGTTAAAAGTTTATATAATAAATAAAAAAATAAAAAAATGTTGTGTTTACATATTATCAAATCTGTTTTGCCCTTTCTTGCTGGATTATTATCTTGTCCAGTTTATTTTTGATATTTGATCTTTGCACACAGAATTCATATGTAGCAAATGTATGTGAAACCAATAATGTATCTGGAAACAATCCAATTATTGCTTCATCAATTCCTAATGGCCAGAAATATAAATCCTCATTTTTTAAATAAATACTCAATAGATGTTTTGAGTAATCTTTTGACTCTGCAGACAAAAATCTTAACATAAATCTTTTCAATGTTACAATAAGTGCATCTGCTGGTATTTTTGCCCTTTGATCAATCATCATTGTTGATTGTTGTGGTTGGTGTTGTTGATTATTAGCAAACCAAACCACAGATGCAATTTCATTCTCTTGCTCTGATGTCAATTTTTCTTTATAAGCATCATTAATACTTGAATATTTATCAATTGGTTCAATTTGGTAAAGAACATCAAAGACCTTGTTAATAAAATCAGCTAAAGGAATTTCTTGTTCATTTGATTCCTTTCCAATTTCAATTATTTCTTTTATATTTGACATTAGAATAGTATTTGCGAAATCATTACAAATACTTAGCATTTGATGAGAAAGTAATTGTTGGCCTTTCAAAACTTTCATTCCAAGTGATAAAACTTTTCTAACATCATGTTGCCATTGTTCAAAAATATTATGTGTCAAGTTTTGTAATTCACTAATATAATATAATATGACCCTTACCATCTCCTTAACTTGTGAATGCTCAAAAGATTCAGAGTTATTACAATCTGTTATCTTAACCTTTGGAAATTTTGATTGATATTCATTTAAAACAGTCTTTGCATTCCTCCACAAATATGCATGTAAAAAAACTGTATCCAAAATTTGCTCTTCCCCTATAAGTTTTGTAAGTAAAGATGCCAAATTTTCATAACCAGCAGGATCGTCAGAGGAAATTAACTTAACAAAATCATTGAAGTACAAATGTGGGTATAAATTTAATAAAGATTGTTTGAATGATGGTATGGAATTTTTAACAATAATTGAAAAGCCTTTTATGTAACCATTGAAAAAATGATGGTAAAGTTCTCCAGTCTTAGGATCAATATTTCCCTCATTATCATTGTACTGATTTATTTCTTCTTCAAATAACTCTTTAAATGATTCAATTCTTTTCACAAAACAAAATGAAAATGGAAGTTCAAGATTATAATTATTTACAGATATACTATATCCATCTGGCTTAGGATCTGATATTTCATCAATGTTCACAATTTTTTGATCCATAAAACATTTTATCCAGAACTCAAGTAGATTCTGAGATTGCATTCCATCAATCAAAAATAAGGTACTGGTTGCTGATAACCTTTCAATTGCACATAAAAGTTTTGCAATTGGTTTTCGAATAATGATACGTAAATATGCTTGTAATGCACCTGAAAATGAAGAATATGGGTATAAAAGTTTTTTGTCTGATGCAACTTTGTTTTGCCAATCTGGTTCAGGATTTGTTTCCAACCATTTTTGTGTTCTGTCCTTTAAATATGTGACCAGATTTTTATTATTTGGAATTTGTGTAATTAGAACCCTAAAATAAAAACACATTATTATTTAAAAAAACAATTACTAAAATTTTTAAATAAATAAATAAATAAATACATACCTAATATGATCTAATGATTTCTGTGAATGAGGATATTCCATACATGATAAACACCATAATAATTCTTGTTTCAAGATATCTTCAAATGGATATATAGTATTGATAATATCAGCCATAGATTTTTCCAAAAAGGCTGGATAAAGGTTTATCTTGGACTTGCAATGTTTCAATAGTAATTTGCTCCCATCCACACATGAAATTAAAAGGTGTTTCTTGCTCATGGTGAATGTGTAAAATTATACATGCATATGTTTCATTGGAATTTTGTTGTTGCTATTGTGTCTTTTAATTAAGAATTCTCCACGTAATTGTTCAATAATAAATTTAGCTAATTTAATACATCCCACATTGACAGTTGTTATATCACATTGAAGAATGAATATTTGTTTATCAGATTCCTGCCAAAAATGTTTGATTCTATTTTGAAATTGTGTTTCAGATTTAAATGTTGAAAGTTTATCTACTTGACAACTGATCTTATTTGACAGACAAGCTTCTATATCAGTATTAATGTTTGAAAATGTATTAACAATAACTTGTTTTCCTTCTGCTTCTGGCATATATGGATCATTTTGTTTCAATAATGCATTAAAATAGTCAAAAAGACTATCATGATGTTGTATTTTAAAATAATATTCTTTCCATTTAAGTATCTCTTCATGTTTTAATAAAGAATTTTCAGATCTAACCATACCATCCGAAGTTGCTATAGCAACAAGACATTCTTTGCATTTTTCAAGTATTTCTTCATTGTCATCATCTGGATATTTTCTTTTTATATTTATAATCAAACTTTGTATGGTTTCATTGGAATCAAAACCAATAAATAAGTCTTGTTGTTTAAATTTATTGTGTGATTGAATTTTTATATTTTTTCCTGAAACTGTAGAAACCTTTTTCACCCAGTCATTTAATTCAGCAACAAGTTCAAATTCCTCATCCATCAATATACACTACCTGGACAAAAGTGTTTGATCACGTGTTTACACTAATTAATAAAAAACCTACATAATAACATCACACGAAATTTATAACATTATGCATCTA